TCTGGTCCCCTGCCTCCATGAGGCTGCCCATGAAACAAAATTAACTTAAGATTCTTCTGGAATCTGCTGCTTCCTGTGCTGTAGACCTGAGGAACTCCATGTGGTCTTGCAAATAACTGAATAACATTGTTTCAATGATTCAAAGAATGACATGGGTGAACCTCAGGAGCAGGTATACTTTGAAACCATAAGATGATCAGATAATTCAAGTTGGAAGGAATTTAAGGAGGTTGTCTAGTCCAAATTTCAATATGCAAGACCTCATGATTCCTGAAGCTTCGTTTAGTATCAGAAATGAATCCAGGAAAAAAAAATACATTCACATGTCTTAAAAATTCTTTTTAGTTTGTTTTACAGCTGGAATGTGCTATGGATTTAGCACGTCTCAGAGGGAATACTTTTTCTTGAGTCTTACTGAACAAATGAAATTCTACTCTGGCTCATTAACAGAGAAATCAAAATGAATGGCAATAATCCAGATGTCTGCTGTAGTCCCATTTCAGAATGTTGTTTATAGTAACACAGTTAGTATGTAAAATGTTTGGGTTTTAATTATGGCTTAAGAAAGTAAACGGTTTTAAAGAGAGGTGACTGAAGTCAGCCGGGTAAACATGCCAATCTGAAGCACAGCTCCCCATATTAAACGAAGAAGCATTATGAAAAATGATTCGTTAAAGATTTTTCAAATCTCCACACTAATTTTCTGTGCAAGTGAAGTTTCCAGTATCACACAGACTGTTTATTCCTATAGCATTCTCCCGATGACCAGAAGCAAATAACAAAAGTCTGCAAAACAAAGAGCATCACTTTATCCAAGCTGTTGTGCAGTGCTGATTTTCTCCTACAGTCAAGGCCAATGCAGCTCAGAAAAATAGAAGGCACTCCTGTACTCTGTGTTGGAGTCATGGTTTAAATGGACATACGTGTTTTTAAAGACGTTTATTTGGCCCGGACTTCTGGCTCCCTTGATGCTGGTATATCACTCATTCAAAAAAAAGCAGAACAGCAGTCTTTGCTTGGTTCACATCCTCAGGTGGCAATGCTACAAAAAGTTGATTTAAGAAACGTTTGTGTTTCTTTGGGTATGCTGGGTACCCGTGTCACCTTAATTCACTGTGGAGTACATTTGAGGAACTTGTACTAGCTTGGTCTGTACCAGGTCTAACTCTGGCAACCTGTACCCATTGCACATTGGACTTCCCACAGAAGCTGCTCTCAAGACTAGGGCTGAACTGTCTGGGACTTGGTAGAACTTAGGGTCTCCAGAGTGGTGTCAGAGCAATTCCCCCCAATTCAATACTTGTTCCCACTATAAATCTGGTTCATAAAATGGCTTCCAAATGCTTATACTTATTGAAACGGAATTATTATTTCTTATTTGAATTGAGCAGACCTTTTTCTTTTATTATAGTGAACTAATTACAGGGTTATTAGAGTCTTAGTGCTCCATAGCCTTCTAGCCGATTGATATTAGTTGCTTGACTGAGCTACCAGTGTTATCGTTGAGTGGTGTTGAAATGGTTTGCCCACAATCACCCAGTAACTCTTATCTATGGAGATTCAGCCCAGTGGTCTATTCACTAAACCGTATAACTTCTCATTATTTGCTCATTACTTGTGCCAGATTTTAGCTACTAGGTCTGGAATTTTCCTTCCTTAGTATCTGCCTGAAGCAGTAAGTGTCGTCTATTTCCAGGAACAAGAACAATAAATATGCATTGCTTTTTCATATATAGATTTTAAATGAATAAAATAATTCTTACAAGCCCTGTGAGAAATTCTGCTGCTCTGGGATATGGAGCCACTGTTGAAATCCAGGAGAGAATCTTCCTTGAGTCATTGACATATTTTCATTCTTCTGGCCCCCACCTAGATATTTTCAGGTTATAATCCCCCCCCCCAAACCCCACCTCCCCCCAGTATGCCAGTTGTTATGAGTTTCAAACAACCATATGCAGGGTTTGGTCCCTAAATGCTTTTCAGTTTTCTTCTGCTGTAGGTTTGCAGTTTCAGAGCTGTAAGAATGAAGGGACTTGCCCTGCAATTTTGGGAGATGTTGGTAAATAGACACTAGAGACAGTGTGGAGGGGAGGCTCTTTGTTGTTAATAATGCTCTTCCTTTTGGTGCCAAAGAAGATTCCTGTGCAACAGAACAAAAATTGGACATGAGGAAAGAGGATAGTAAGGATTAGAGGAATAGGAAGACAGTGGGAATGGGAAGAGAATCTAGGAAGTGACTATGGGGAAATACTGACTGCTGAGAACAGAGATGGGAGAAAAAGACATTTGTTAAATGCGTACATGCAGGAAGACTAGGACTTATGAGTGAAGAAGCTGAGAGTGAAAGAAGGAAATAAAAGGGGAGGAGATTTGGGTTGGATAGGCCGTGGAGGATTGGACATCTCAACTTTTGAGGTGAGTCCAGGAGACAGGGGATGATAGGAATAAAACTGCAGCCGAGATGGAAGCGTGGGAAGAGGGAACAAGTTCATACAGTGAAGAAACTGGGATAAGTCAGGGAATGTGGAGTGGGTGTGAAGAGGGAAGACAATGCTCTGTTCAGAACAGGAGAAGAATCGGTTCTGATCACTAAAGGAGAGTCACCAAATGTCATTCAAAACAAAAACCTAGAACAAAACTCATAATTCTAGTGGAATCTAACAACTGCAGGCTCAGTAGAGATGTGGATTTTATGACATAGTATTTTTCCCCATAATCACCACCTTTGAATTCTTCAGTTACACTGGCAATAATTACTCCCCTTCCTCGTTCCCCTCTGGGGCACATAATTTTCTTAACTTTCCCTTTGCTTATAGCCTACTCTGCTCTACAGGTGCCAGCAATTCTTGTCTTTCAAACTGTCTTTTATTAATGTTCAGTTGAATTCAGAACAGTTGTTCGTAACCCATACCTTCTGTTACAAGAGCTGAAAAGAATTTGTATGCATTAAGTTGGTCTCTTTTTTTTTTTCCTTAATATAAAAATTGTTCTTATGAAGTTATTACTGAGCCTTACAAACTTCACTTTGCAAGAAATACTTGTTCCTCTGAGTGCTTTCAATGTTTGCAGGTTTGTTTTTGCACAGTGTTGTCAGCAGAGTGAGATTTTTCATGTTTTCTGCTGTTTTGTGAGATCGAATGGGGGAGGTTGGGGTGATGATGATAATGGTTGTTATTATTTCTCTTGGGAATACATTAAAAGATAGAATATGGATAAATGGAGCCTCAAGGGTGACTCATGTTTTTGTTTAGCTTGAACTATGTCCAGCTTCTAAGAGGAACTTGATTTTTAGGTGCATGTTTTTGCAAAGTGTTTTAAATTGAAGTTATAATTCCAGAGGTCTCAATAGCATGTGTTTGTTTTTATTTAGGAACATGTTTAAGGAATGTTTTTGGTGGGTGAATGTAAAATAAATAAAACTATCTCAATCTGGAGGTTGCAATTCTGTGGCATATTCGGTGTCAGCAAAAATCAAGTGGAAGAATGTTATTTAGAGAATGGACTCAGTTAATTTTTATGATTTATTTTGTAAAGAATTGTCTTTATGCTCAGTTGTGAGATGCAAAAGTATGATTTCTTAGGTAGTGTTTGCTTTTACTTTCCAAACATGCAGAAACATTTACAAGGTGGCTAAAATTTGTTTTCAACATGGGCCACTACCTGCTTGTTTTTGGGTAACACAAATTCAGAAAGTACTTTACTTTTCTTCAAAACAACATACTGTTACCATATTAATTGTCACTGAGTGTGTAACAGTGCGACACCTTCATGCCATTGCTTCTATAGTGTTGTTCAAGGTGTGGTTCTAATTTTTTTGCCATATTAAATTCTCAGTAAACATAATTTATAACTCAGTCTATTAAAAAAAAAAAAAAAGCCAAAACCAACAAAACCTTGCTGTCATATGCAATGTGAGTATCTTAGCTTGTGAATATTTTGAAATTTGTCTGCAAAGTGATTGATGACATTAATTTGTAAGTTGTTAGGGGAATGAAGCAAAGTCAGGGCTTCACTTGTGTTTTTGTTTGGTTTAGGGGATTTGATGTTATGTCTTATAAATGACTGTTCACTGAGAAAGTATTTGTAGTACTTTATTCATACAGTCGTGTTTTATCTTTTGAATATAATAGATAGAGTAAGAGTGTCATAAATTTAAAAAATGTAGCTTAATGGATATTTCTAATAACTGTACTTTAATGGAAAGCAATTTCAACATTTAAACCTAGTTTGCAAGTTGAACAATAAATGCTCCTCTGGTAACTTCGAGAGCATAGATGCTTTCGTCCTAGTCAACTGCGTGCTGGGGGTATACGCTTTATCTGTATTTCAGTATACTTAGGTATCTGTAAAACATAAGACAAAAAAAAGAGTCAAATTTGCAAAATAAGGAGTATTTATTATGTTGCCTGCTTAGAAACATGTTTTGATGTGTATCGTGACCTGAATGAGACAGCTGCAGAATTTGGCCAAGCAGAGCTGCATCAGTGTGTACAATGGCTTTGTTGGTATTTCAGCAGAAGTATGACAGACGTCCATAGTGAGCCGAGATGTATGTGAGAGAAAAATGTTGATGAAAGATACTAAATTTAAAAATGCGTTAATTATGCTAGGGTTTCATTAGCCTTTGTTCTGTAGTAAAACTTAGAGGTTGTTTCACAGCTCCAGTATAAGCGTGCATCTTTGACTTGAGAGTTCTTCACTAAACTTAAAAGTTCTACCTACAAAAGTTCAGAGCGAGTAAGATTCTCCTGTCTACCTGTGAGAGTTGAGAGAAATCTGACCACACAATTCTTACTAAAATTAACAGGCATTTTATGACTTGATCTACAGCCCCTGTCATGAAATGTCCCTGGTGCAAATTTCATCATATGATGAGTGATTGTGTTCCGTCTACTGATCTGTTGCTGGTTTTGAATGATAAGGGTGTTGCAGAGTTAATGCTTGGACTATACGTTACGCAGTACATTTTTGTACTAATTTGAAATGTGTTTTATTTGCAGGGATATTAAACCAGACAACATTTTGATGGATATGAATGGACATATTCGATTAGCAGATTTTGGTTCTTGTCTGAAACTGATGGAAGATGGAACGGTAAATTAGAAAGAGTGATATATTCCTAAACACCTTTTCTTCAGTCCTTCGCTAGCTGCTAAAATGTGTGGTAATGAAGAGAAAACGTGCCTTATGTCAAATGAAATGGAATTGTGATGGTATTGATATGTAACTAGCCTTGGTTCAAAATATGACTGCACTTTGATTGGATTTACTGTTTATTAAAAGCTTTTTAGATGCATATGGTCAACTCATGAATAAATAAAGAGAAGCTGCACTATCAGTACTGAGTAGGTATTTGTTGATGAACTATGAATCTCTCAGTTTTGAGCTTTGAGCTCTAATCTTTATTGAAAATGTAAGCTTTAGAATAAGCAGGATGAGATACAATTAACTTATCATATTTTAGTAGTATATTTAAACTTGCACAGTATATAGTAGGTGTGACTAGAATGCAATTCCAGTGTGTTAATCATGTCCCAGAGTGTTACAAAGTATTTGAGTTAATATATGTGATTACCTAATCTGTAATTACTTAATAACAACTCCAAGCCTAAGAATTGACAGTTTTGTTCTTTCTCTGTTATTAAATATTTGTAAGAGTTGAGCAAAAGGATTATTTGGATGCCTATTAACGTAGTGCCTTGGATGCTTACGTATTTCTTTATGAATTTAGAAGCCTTTTTATTGTGTTTAGTTGTTATTGTTATAACCAGAATGCTAGGCTAAATTTATATATACGTGCACAGTGCCACAAACAGCAGTGTCTGTAACGATGGAAGTTGATTTTAGTCCTGGAAATGTAACTTCTACAGGTCCAATCTTCAGTGGCAGTTGGAACACCAGACTACATCTCTCCAGAAATCTTGCAGGCCATGGAAGATGGAAAAGGGAAGTATGGGCCCGAGTGTGACTGGTGGTCCCTAGGCGTTTGCATGTATGAAATGCTTTATGGAGAAACGCCCTTTTATGCTGAGTCCTTGGTGGAGACCTATGGGAAAATAATGAACCACAAAGTTAGTGCACTTTCTCTTTCTGTCTCTCTCTTAGCTAATTTTTAATAAGTACTAGGGTAACTTGGAGGCTTATTTAAAAACGAGTTTTTATGTACTAATTGAGTTAATGTTCATAAATGTAGAACAAAAAATATGTTTCCATATAGTAAGTTTATGGTTATGGATTGCAGATGGCTTTGCTTTAGGATAAAGCAGTTAAAACTAAAAACCTGGATTTGGTAACATGGCTGTTAGTTCACTCTGTGGAGTAAATCTTGGCTACATTACATCACTCCTTTTGCGTTACTTTCTTCTGGCGGGATCCATTGGTTGGCTTATGCAGAAGATTCTTAAATGTTCTTCCACATGGAGGTAGCTGTAGAATTCGGCAGTGTAAGAGAAATTTAAATAAAGAAGAAAAACTAGGAGACAAAAAAATTTCCATAGTTTCTATCCTTTGGGGAAGTCTTTTTTGTAGAAACCTTACTGCATATGTTTAAGAACCAGAGTATTTGCACATTTCTTTTTCTACATAATAATTTCCACCAAGAAGGGTGATTTTTCCAACTTTTTCTTGGTAATAAACTGTTTTCTCTTATTTTAATCTTTAAGGAGAGGTTTCAGTTTCCTGCTCAAGTGACAGATGTCTCTGAAAGTGCAAAGGACCTCATCCGAAGGCTCATTTGTAGCAGAGAGCATCGACTTGGACAAAATGGGATAGAAGACTTCAAGAACCATCCATTTTTTGCTGGGATTGATTGGGACAACATTAGAAACTGTGAGGCACCCTACATCCCAGAAGTCAGCAGCCCCACTGATACATCAAACTTTGATGTGGATGATGATTGCTTAAAAAATTCTGTAAGTATAGGATTAACATTTTGGCAAATCTGCTTTTGTAGTATACTTTGCAACAAAATATATGTAAATGGCAGTTTATTTCAGTGTGTTCACTGTGTTTGCATAAACAACAAAGTGCTGCTCTGAAGAACTGTGGGGGGAATACATTCATAGTTCAGAGGCTGTTCCTGCAAACGTACATGTGTAAGGATAACTTCAGTTCAGTTTTGTAAATTCACTGTAACTTTACATGTTTAACTAACATACATCTGTTATTTCCAGTAACAAGTTCTTAGTGTCCAGGTCTTATAAAGAATAACACATTTACATGTAGATAGTCTGCAAGACACGGTATTCCTAGCAGAGCATTGTTGAGACTTGTACGAAGTTTGCATATGGCATTTTATTATAGTGCTCTACTCTTAATTGCTCATACCTCTGTCCGATATCATTCAGTTCGTTCCCACTAAATTTTTTCCAGCTCGTTTTCTGACTTGAGTTGAGTTTTTGGAAATTTAGGAGGAATGTTACAGCCATTTCTTCAGGAACAATCTTAGTGAGAAACAAATGATTTTGCCTTTGCTTAAAAAGCTTTGCAACTATTGATACTTAACAACCTTAGTGTTTCTGTGCTTTGGAACAGGAACTTTGACAGATGATAGAGGTCTTAGCATCAGAGGAATGCCTTCTGTTGTCTCCTTGGAAATACTTTTTTTTTTTTGGTGTTTGTTGAAAGATGCAGAAACCTGCTATTTACACGCGAGGTGAAGCATTTTCTCAATTTTTGCTTTTGTTTTCTGAACTGCCTGTGCATCTCAGTTCCACTGAGCTTCCTGGACCTGCAGATAAGTGATAGGCAACATGAATTCATATAGGCAGGATGTCCATTATTTGCATTCACTTTCCTCCAACTGCACAGTAAAACGTGGAAAACGCTTTGACTAGATGAAATCCAGTGGTAGACGTATGTCGTGTAGCGCATTAGGTCTGAGTCCTTTCATATAGGCAAATTAAGCAAATCAGTCTAGCCGCATAGGACAACTTGCATTTTTTTTCATTTTTTCCTCAGTTTTTTCTCACTTGCATCTGGTATTGCCTATCTCCCTTCACAACTAAAGTATTTTTATCTTAAAACTGTTTTATACAGTCTTCAGATACCTGTTTGCACATTATTTTTGTCCAGGAACAGCTATCAGGGCTGGGTGGCAGGAATGGATGCTGTGTGTAGCAAGTCTTTGTGAAGTCATGTTTGTGAAGCTGCAATACCTTTTGGAGGTTATTCATACATTCTAATGTTGGCCAGTCCAGGGGTCTTCCTTTTTAGAGCCTAATCTCCCAGCTGAGGCACTCAAAAGGTGCCTGTGCAGTGTGAATGTTTTCCCATTGTAAAGAAGCAGGGAGCTGCAGGTGAAGAAGGAATGCTCCTGTGGTGAGTTATTGGACTCAGGTGTGAAAACAGAGTCCGATTCTTAATTTGCTTTAGACTTCTGGGGGTGAAAAGCAGTGCCATTGAACTGTTCGAGATGAACACTAGTTTCTGGAGCTTCATTTTCAGTTTCCTCATTTGAAACATGTGAAGGTATTTTTTTGGTTTGTTTAATTTATACCATTCCTTTTCGCACCTAGCATCTCTGAAAAAACCCTAGCCTGAGGCATTGCACAACTGAGGATATTTTACATTTTTGCTTCAACTAGTCGACGTTGTATTTACTATTGCTTCCCCTCAAATTCTTATGTGTAACTCGGAGGTGTTTTCCCTGCCGTCTGTCATAAGCATCTTGTGAGGAAAGTTCACATACTTGCATTACTACTACAGAAGTCAGCACCACGGATAAGCCCATGAGACTTTTTTTTTCTTTTAAGTTCTTTGCAAGGTTTGAATGGCATACAGCAAATGAGGAATGCCAGTGCTGAAGATAAAAAGCAGTGTTGAAAAGCCATGATTGTTATTGTTCTGCCTGAACTTGGAATGAGACTGTGGTCCCATGGAAAAATTGCATACGTAATAATGAAATTCAAACAGTATGTTAAAAGTACACGTAAACACAAAGGGCAAAACAATATTATTAGGCAGCCTAAGTTCTGCAGGTTTTTAGCTTTTAACTGTTTGGTTTAGTAGCCTCACTGATAGGCATGATAGTTGTAGATTCAGTTAGAATTTTGTCAGTATGATAATACAGTTGAATTCATACAAGTAGCAGGAAGTAAGTATTTTGATCGCTGCCAAAGAATCAGCAAAGAAACAAATTCTTTTACAGACTCTTACATTGTTATCAATAGATAGGATATTTTAGGACCAGCATTGTTGCCTATGTGGTAACTGAAAACTGTCGTATGGGCTGTTAAAATCACACAATTATGCATTTGGTCTTTTTTTGAAGTTATTCGTAAAGACGGTTTTGAAACTGGAATCTATGAAATATGAAAATAAAATATAAAGGAGAAGTAAAGAATTTTACTTTTCCTAACCATAGTGTGTAATAATTTGTATTTTTATTATCAATTACTGGAAAGTTAAGGCTTTGTAATTTGGTCTTGTCCTTAGTTTCCAAAATGCCCAACAATGTAGACTTGATGTACTTACACAATCTAGCCATGTCATTGGTGTTGCTTTTTATTCTGGGAACTCTTTTTCAATGTGAAGATTTTTGTCTGCTAAAAGGTCAAGGTGGTGAGGTAATATAGCTGATGCCACCACTGAAAAGGTAATTTTGGATTTCTTTTGAGTACAGGCTTGTTCTCGCCTGCTGAGTTTTACATGTAAAAATGTACAACTGGTTCCTTTCTTTTTTTTTTTTGGTTTGAAAAAATTCGTTTGTTACCTTTTCTTAAAATTTAGAACCTTTTAGGATTTTCGATGTGATAATCATCTTAGGGAGTTTCTTTTGATGACCGTTAAGGCCATCTCTAGTATAGCAACATAAACCTTGCATCTTGGGGTTAAACAGGAAACTTATAACAGGATATTTAAGAATATCAGAACTTATAATGGTTCGAATAATATAGCAACAGGGTTACTTTAACCTGAGGAGAAGCTCAAAGATTTGTCTTGGTTTGTAGTTCTTTGTCTGGCAGGAAAAAGGAGCAATGAAGGAAGAAATGTTCAAAGCGCTAATGGGATTAGAAAACCCTGTTGTATTACTTCTTTCTAGTAAATGTCTGACTTGTTCTCTCCAAATAGAGATAGCCCACTCAGAAGTGAGGTTGGTAAATCTACAGGCAGGAAGCCCTGCTCACTAAATTGCAGAGAGGAGTATTGGAGGGAATAAAAGGTGATACTCTTTGTGCTAAGAGCTTCTTGGAAAAAACAAAGGAATAAATTGGCTTTTAATATGTGTAATATTCTGCTTTCCTCCAACGATAGCCTATTTAATTGGAAAAGCATTTTTATGCCAGCATGCTGTATTTTTGTAAATTGCATGCTATTATAAATAGATTTAGGTGATGCCATTTCGTATTTGGGCTGTAGATCAGGATGACTGTGAATATAGTTAATATGATGTTATTGCTAACACTTCACATATGGTTAAACTCAAAAATCTTTTTCTTTTAAGTCCAGTAGGATATTACTTACTCAACTGTCCTATTATTTTTCTAGGAAACAATGCCTCCACCGTCACACACTGCATTTTCTGGCCATCATTTACCATTTGTGGGTTTCACATATACGAGTAGCTGGTAAGTTAAGAGTTCCCAAATTGTCTGTAGGATAGTTACATAATATCTCATGTTTCTGTCTCTGAAACCAACTGCAGATACCAAAGAATGTGGTTTATTGAGGAAATTACTAGGCCATAATCTAAAATGCTGTCTGTCCAAAAGAATGAGCTCTCTGCAGGTAAAATTTACATGAATTTAAAGGTCAGCACCTGTGTTCAGAGGAGTTTTGTTGAGAAAGGTGGTTTTCAGACAATGTGTGAAGTTAATGGCATATGACAAAGTTAAGACCAGATGTGTGGACTCAGAGAGAACTTAGCTTATTAGACTTAAAAAATGGTTTTATTTCTAGTTCTCTGACGGTCTTGTAAGTCTGAATGGAAATTTAAAAAAAAAAAAGTTTTGCTGATATTTGGTATTAATGTGGTATTTGTCATGTTCATCTCTACTGCTAAATTAAACAGTAACAAGGAAGTCCATGTATACTCCTTGATCATTGATGAAAATAAATAAATAAAGAATGTTTACAACCATTGAAAAAACAGGCCTATGTTTCTGCAAACACATGTAATGCTGGTTATGTGACATGTCCTGTAGACGTCAAAAGGATTGTTTGCATAAGTAGTAGTATGTGTACATGAGTATCCACAGAATCAGGGCCACAGCATTTCTGATAGGTATGTGCCCTAGCTGTCATGTGATAATTTCACGTCATTTGTTGTGATTGTTGTCTTTAAAGTATTTGGGTAACTAGATTAATTATTTTAAAATAAACTGTTATTGTAATCTTACTAACTATCTAGATTGTTGCTTTTTGCTACCTGGCTAACGTAGGCTGTCCATAATGATCATTTTTAATCAGGAGTTCATTCACTTTTACATAACAAAAAATGCTTTGAGGAGATTGGTTGTGCTAGGTAAAAATGAATTCAATATTTAACGAGCACATACTAACAAGGTATTATTTGACTGTATAATAAATTACATAGTAATTCACAATTTAAACAACTATTTATTAGTTGATATAGGTTTTTTTTTTTTAAATTACTTTAAACACAGCCTATTGTAAAATCCAATACTGTTTTAATTTTTTTCCCCCCAGTGTGCTTTCAGACCGCAGCTGTCTAAGACTGACAGCTGGACCGCCCTCCATGGATCTTGATGCCAGCATTCAAAGAACTTTGGAGGATAGTTTAGCAACAGAAGCTTATGAGAGGAGAATAAGACGTCTAGAACAGGAAAAGCTTGAACTTAGTAGAAAACTGCAAGGTATAGACACTAAAAAAAAAACCATTCGATTACTTTTTTGACTCAGATTAGCTTGCAGCTTTGTAAGGTATGGTTTATACTGTGGAAAAAATAAATGTACCTCCTGGAGTGCTTTCTAGCAGAAAAGAATTCTCTTCATTATTTCCATTGACAAATTAAACTTCTGTTACTCTTCATGCCTGAAATATCCCATGTATGCAACTTCTTATAACATGCTAACTTTGTTCGCATTGTGCCTTGGTTACTATGGCATAAATATTTCATTCTTAAAACCTCTAAGAACTTAGTTTGTCCAGCTGACAATTACTGAAAAATTGGCACTTAGTAGTTGGAAATTATAAACTGTAGAGTCCTCAGTGGAGGTGCTTTTTGGCGTGTCTTAATTTATCGGTGATATCTTTTTGACCTCCTCAGATGTCAGGTGTGTTATTTGTCCCTCTCTCTTCCATCTTTTTCTAGAGTCCACCCAGACAGTCCAGGCTCTGCAGTATTCAACAGTGGATGGCCCAATAACAGCAAGCAAAGATTTAGAAATTAAAAGTTTGAAAGAAGAAATTGAAAAGTTGAAGAAACAGGTAACAGGTATGTTATAAATATTAATGTAAAAACTGTAACAGGAAACAGTATTTTGACAAGATTTTTTTCTCGTAATGTTAGTTTTACTCTGCTTTCTAAAATAGTCTTCCAGTCTATTTTTACTTCTTATTTTACCTTTTGCTCTTCATTGGTAGCTCAACATTTTCTACAAATTCAACTTAATATTCAGTACTTCAGTAATTCCAGTTGCAAGGGAGAAGGAAGATTTCAATGGCTTCTGCTATTATTATTAGTGGTAAAATTCCGCTAGTTTTAAATTGTGGTGTTGCTCATTTACATGGATGTGAATCAGGCCCTACCTGAGAATCTGTGAAACCATGGCCAATTTCCTTCGTCCTGCAATGTGTACTGCAAGAGCGGATGGAGCACTTGTTTGGTTATTTTTGGCAGAATCAAAAGTCACTGCAGTCCTCTCAGAAGTCATAGTCACTGTGGCATACCTTAGCATTCCTTGCTTTGTACATCTCTGGACTCTGGTATGAAGGTAAATAGGTAGTAAACCAGAAGGAAGGAAGGTGTTGTTTCTTCTTTACATGAGTAAACGTGAGGTGAAGACTTTAGCCTAGCAGTTTTAATAGTCTTAAAAATATTTGATGGACGGGTGATTTGTTATGATCTACGCATGAATCGATACTTTTCATTATCTCATTTTCTGTTGAATTTTCCTTGGAAGGGCCAAATTTGTGAAACGTGATCACAATTTTGATTATGTTTTCTTTGAAACCACAGAGGTTTATAGTGTGCTGTTGCTTAGTGCATTGTAACTGGATGCGGAGTAAAAGCTGGTTCAAACTGGAGATGTAATTTTCTGAGTATTTTCTTGGAACAGTGCTTTTAGAAAAGCGTGGGTTATCTGGGAGGTGGGCTGTGTGCATGAAACTACAATGATAATGAGTTTTCCAAGCGGCAGGGAGTAGTGAAGGGTGTTTTCCATGAGAGAGGACGCTATGGGCTATAAGGCTGCAGTTCCATGAGCAGCAGAACTGACCAGACAAAACTCTGCCATCAAAATGGGTCCTGCTCACAGCTGTGCGGCCCCTCCTTTCTCTGTGCATGTCCCAGACTCTCTCTTGAGTTTAATTCATTCAATTAAACAAGGAAAGAACTGTTTAGATATAGAGAATTTAATCAACGCATGATCTGATAAATCAGCACAAGGTGGGCAACAGGAGCATATGAGGAAAGGGAGATGGGAGGGGGAAGAAACACCTCTCACCTCTGCTGTCAATGAGCTACCATTTCTTACAAAACTGAATATTTATTTCCTTTCCATTTAATTCCTTTGTTTCTGAGAGTTCATGAAGATTTATGATAACTAAAAACTCAGCTTATCAAGTATCTCAGTATTTTGTTTTAAAACTGTTTTTTGAAGTCTGTGCAGATAAAGAGCTGAATTTCTTTAATGTCATACTGCCTTTCTTTAGAACTCCCAAACTAGTCAAAAAGCAAAGATCTACTTAGCCCAGTATCCTGTGTCTTTACAGAGGCTACTGGAGACATTTAGGGAAATTCGATATATCCAAATCCTCCTTTTTCCAGCCTTACTCTCCCAGATTCTGGCAATTCATGTTTTAAGAACTTCCAGAGGGAGAGCTTCTATTGCACCACCATGTTGACTATAGCTGTTAGTGAACCAATTTGCTCTCTGTTTAGCTAATATCTTTTTAGCCTACTTTAAAGGCTAGCTTCTAATACTAATATTCAGTATTCTTGATTTGATGCTCTGAATTAAGTTAAGGGGAATTTTCTCTTGTAGTGATTCATAGCATAGGACTTCTGCTATCCTGCTCTATAACAGTTTCTTCAAAATAGGATCTTGAGAGCAGAGACATCTTCAAAGAGAAAGAAAGGAAGTATAGCAACATGGTTTTTGTTTAGGAAAATTAACAAGAGTGATAGAGACTGTTAGGTATCAGGACTAGAGCCATAGAAATGGGGAGGACAAATGTGGTTCCTCTTGTCAATCCAAATAGGAAAATGTCTGCATTTTATGTGAGAGAGAAATCATACACAAGTAGAGGTAGATGGATCTCTATTATATGTCCATATCTTACCTGTGGCAAGGGAAAAAACCCAGAGAGAACAGTTGGAGGAAACTACAAAAAAAGATTTGCTCTGGTTTGTATTTGTGAAAAGGCTTCATTCAGTTCCTGAAAGTGTCAGGAATGCAAGCAACGAAACCACCACAAAGAAATAACTTGAACTTAACTTCCAGACGTTTTAGTTGGTATGTTTAGACTCTGCTGCTATGTTATGGGGCAGAAGCATGCTATGTATGAACTGCAGTCTGCAGCACATAGATTATCTGCTGTTAAAATTGTGTAGTCTGAAAAAAGTCTGTTACACAGTTGGACAGCTGCTGTGGTATGATGCAGCAGTTTTGTATTGTACCATAAGCATTATTTTTGGATGTGAACGTGGCTTAACTAGCTCAGGGAGGATCACTCTGGTTTGAGTGATGCCATGTTGGTGCTGTGTCAGGACAAAGGTTTTAGTGAGGTTTCTCTCCAGCCAAATGTCCCTCCAGTTGCTGCTGTAATGAGGAAGAAGACAACATGATCAGAATCCTCTGTTCTACAGCAATCCACAGCTCTGTTTTTGGCTCTTCGGGACCACTGAAAAGCAACATCTATAAGAACAGCTTTTGAGTGGGACCAGCCCTTCGTAGAAGATCATCAGGATCAGCTTTAATTTTATTTTATTCTTGACTATTGAGCTGCAGCTTAGATTTTAGTTCATTGCTGAAGGTATTACTCTCTTCTGTTGGTAATGAAAAAAAAATTTAAAAGGTGTGGGAACGTTCACCATCACAACTGATACCCTCTTTCACATTTAAAAGAAGTCAGTTAATATTGAGAAGGTTTTCCCTTAAGTATCCATTAAGAATTTTCTGCTTCACACCACATATATATTTCTATATTTATTCCTAGATACAATATGTGCTTTTGTTTTTGGGGTTGGAAGTGAATAATGTGATCAAATGAGGAAGATGTAGAGTTGTCTAATCCATCCCCAGTCGCCACGTAACTTTCCCAGTATATACTTGAATGCCTTGTCTGGTCCAGTCAATACAGCCATTAGGTAGAAGACACTCATTTGTGCCTTGAGTTGTAACTAATACAAGCTAATTTGATAAAACTGGGAAAAGAGAATGTTGTATTTTGCTTGATTTTTATGGTTTTTTTTTGTGAGATAGATTTTAAAACTAAATTAATGACAGAATAAGGGCACAAACCAAATGATGGTCATGTCTGAATGCTTACAGATTTAGGGGAGCTAGTTCCAAGTTCTCTGGCTGGCCTTTAAAATATCTAAATTTCCAAATCTAGATCTGATGAACTTTAAAGAAGGTTCAGTTCAGGTGCAGAGCTGAACTTTATGCTTTGGGCTCATCTCTTGGGCAATTAAATGTAACGTAATAACATCCTACAGTGAGTGTTTGCATATATTAGCTAAAATGTTTCAACAACTAGGGTGATTAGATGGAAAATTACCATTGACTACGTCACAACTAGCTTTTGGTTATATTCTTTAACCTGTTTTACTGCCTCTTCTGGAACTGTAAGAGTAAACACCTGCTTAAAAAGGTAATAAAAAACGAACATGAAATTGTGTCAAATTCAGGAGCGTCACCGGGGGGACCTTAGAAAAATGTTTTTCTTGTCTATCTAGTTTTCCAGGAAATGACAAGCTAGCATATGCTTTCAATTTTTGAGGTCAAAGTTATAATTTTTGTTCGCTAAGTTACATAGGAGAAAACTTTGAGGAATCTTTCATATTGCCAAATATGTAAAGGGCAGCGATGGAAGAAGAAAACAGAGCTGTGGAACAAAGTAGTTCGTGCACGGAAGAGAGATTTATCTTGGCTCAGCAGAGCCATATATAAACTTTCTTTTTGCTGGTGACTTCAGAGTAGACTACATAAGAGAGGCAGTTAATAATTTCGGGCTTTGAGCTACATCTCTTATTTAAATGCATTCTTTTAAATTTTTAAACAAGAGTCAATGAATTAAAATAATAGTGAATATTTGTCTGGGTGTAAGCTAATGGTATTCATTTGCTTCTAAAATTCTTGTGTTTCAGAAATTACAGCTCTTAGAAATGTATGTGTTTTTATGTTTGATTTCTCCAAGAGCCAGTCTCTTAGGGTTGCATTTATGAAAATGTAGTAAAAGGCTCTTATTAAGAGTATAGATGGGTTCCTGTTCTGTGGGTAAATACGTGTGGTCTGAAGACCTGCCACAACTGAAATCAAAGGCAAAATATTCAGTGATTTCATAGAACTTGGAATTAACCTACCTTCATATATATCTTGCTTTAAATTTCTGTTTTTAAGAGAAAACTAGGAGGGGAAAAAACACCCACTAGCTAGAAATTTTCAGTTAGAAATTTTCAGTTGTCATATTTTATGGATTTCAACTTTTCATGTTGTAGCACTTGAGCGTATTGATATGACATTATTTAGCTGTGGCTTAGAAATGTACTTTCATTGTGTAACTGACAGTTGGTAAGAAACTGGCTCTAATAGTTTTCATGTATTTATAGTGGTAATAAAGCAGATCACATAAACACAAGTGGTTTTCACACTAGAAATAAGTAAAATCATCTGAAGTTAATTTTAAGTGTATCAACAGGAGAACATTTGCCAGCTCTTGAGCGACCCGTTACTTTTACTGTTTCTTTCTGGGGGAATGTGGGGGGAGGAGGGAAGCTGTTCATAATTACAGTGTAGTAAAAGATGCATTATATATTACATCACAGTGCATAAAGGTCAAATGTATAGGTCATTTTAAAGCATACATGACAGAATTATGTATAGTGCATGATTATTATAATGTGAAAAGTTGTTATTGTTTTCTATGTTGTTTTGCAGCAAGCTGTGACCTTTTATTCTGTTTTGTTAAAAGCAGATAATGGCAGTTGAAACAACCTACTCCCTGTTCTAAACCAGATAAGAATTGCATTATTTTGTGATTAAATGGAAACCAGAACAAATACTGAAGGGGCCTTAAGCAGCTAGACTATGCTATTCTAGAATAATGATTTTTTCCTTAACCTATTCAGAAGTCTGATGCTTTTTCTAGATTCTGGTCAGCTAGAACAGCAACTTGAGGAGGCCAGCGCTGCAAGGCGGGAGTTGGATGATGCTTCCAGACAAATAAAGGCTTTTGAGAAACAGGTCAGAACGCTGAAGCAAGAGAGGGAAGATCTTAATAAGGTAAAAGCATTTTGTCAGCAACTCTTCTAAACCCTAAAGACTATTTTATTTTTGTTCATTTTGCTTGAAATAACTTTGAAGTGTAAAATTAATGAGCAGACAACAAATGTGCAGTGTTGTGTGACCTACTTTGCTTTCTGCCTCTTTTTTGAAGACAAGGGCATTATTTAACGTGTTGTACGTATGATTGCTGGGTGGTCCTAGGTGACTGCTTCTAGCTAGTGAACAACTCCATGATCCAAATTGCATGGTGGCTGCAAAGAAGGTTTTATAGCTTCAGATTAAGGTGATAATGATAGTGGTTAGAAGACAGAGTAGAGAAGAACTATTCCAGACAACTAGTTTAATCTGAAGAATGGTGAGACTGTAGCAGGAAAAAACTATTAAGAATATAGTATTAGGGCTGTGTCACAGGAGTGTTTCCAGAAGAGAGATGTGAAAAATTGCCAAAATATGAAGATTGAAAAGCAACTTGAAATAACTACAGTTAAAGAATACTGAGTTTTATTTCTTCTTCTCTGTCTCTCTGATTCCTTGTTTTCTTATTAAAAAAAAAACTGTCTTTCATGGCTCTTTTTTGTATTCATGGTAAATCAACCTGAAAATGTAATCAGGTGTGAAATACATTAGCTTGTTTCTCATCATGATTATATTGGCCTAGTATTTTAGTGTCCATACTCAATGTTGATGTGCCAGCTGTATTTAATGCTGTTTCTTTTAACCCTTAAGCCTCTTAAAACCTTGAAAGCTGCCAGTTTGTCCAAGAAAGACCATCTCTCTTCTAAAACAACTCGTAGTGATTAGGACCTCTTTTTAACAACCTTAGAAAATGCTTTTAAATTTGTATAGGTGTCAACAGTGCCAAATATTAATTCTTCCTGCCACTCTTCTTTCCATCCTCAGACTCGCTTTTCCTTGCTTTTTTGCTCTGCTCTGGTTTGGCTGAACGTCATTAAACCATTTAAACTGTTGTGGTCCCTCATTCGTAGTGTAGTAGCACAGATCTAGGACACAGCAAGCTTTGTGAAGGTACTGTGCTGTAGAGTTATCACAGCACTAGCAGTGTTATTTCATGTGGGTTCTTTTAAAAGAATAATTATCATACATTGCTGCTAATCATGACAGTGTTTTGTGGCCTGAAACTTTCTGTAGCATTTGGTGTTATGGTACAGTGTGTGAAAAATCATACTTGCCATTGCAGGTCAGTTTTCAAAAGCTTCTAAAGTAGAAATTTTCATAGAACAGAGTTTTCCATTCAATTAATGCAAAACCTTTTTTTAATCATTTAGCAGTTGAGAATAAGTACTATTCTTTTTATTCACTTAAGTAGTTCTTGAAAAACTATGCTAATTACATTTTTAATGAAGAAAGCAAGGTATTTTTATATTTTAATGCAAGTGCTTGAAAGCTTTTGTGTTGAACCTATAATAATGGAGTAAATTCCGACTTGGTTTACGTTTATGCAGTTTTACCAACTTTAGTAGTGTAAAACCTGGCCTCTTTCCTTATTTATAGAGGCATACAATCTGTATCGTAGATGCATTCATAAAAAGAAATGAATATGTAGTTTCTATTCACTCTGGAGAAGGCGTTAGATGCGCATCCAAAGACAGAATTGGCCTTGCAGCTTTCTAGGTTTATTACTTAATTCTTTTTTTAAACTGTAGGAACTGGCAGAGTCTAGTGACAGATTAAAATCCCAAGCCAAAGAGCTGAAAGATGCACACAGCCAGCGGAAATTGGCAATGCAGGAGTTCTCAGAGATGAACGAGCGGCTGACAGACTTGCACTCTCAAAAACAAAAGCTTGCCCGCCAGCTCCGAGATAAGGAGGAAGAAATGGAAGTGGTGATGCAAAAAGTAGAAAGTTTAAGGCAAGAGTTACGCAGAACAGAGAGACTTAAAAAAGAAGTAAGTGGTGAGAAGACTGTTTAGAATCTATGAAATAGTAGTTATATGTAAGGTTTTCTGACAAAGTAATTTTTTTGTTATCTGTAAATCTTTAACTCTTTGATTGTTGTTTCAAACAGTACCGATTTTGTTTTCTAAGAATTTGAAGTGTCCAGTTTAGTGCTGAAGATTTATCTCTTATATTGAAAACCATCAATAGATTTTTGAAAAAAAAAAACAAACCCAAAACCAAGAATCCTATCTATTAAAAACGTATGTACTTTTGTAGCTGGAAGTCCAAGCTGAAGCTGCAGCTGCTGAGGCATCCAAAGACAGGAAATTGCGAGAGAGGAGTGAACAGTACTCTAAACAGTTGGAAAGCGAAGTAGAAGGGCTAAAGGTTAGTCTGTTTTGATATTAACACCTGCAAACTTACTAGTCAACTAGGACTTGCATCTGTTTGATTGCTTTCAGATGTAGGACAAAAGGGTATTGTCAGTTTGTCACTTCAGTTGATGCTGAATATTAATGCAAGCATGCATCGCATTATTGTCCAGAAAAATAAACATTTGCTTAATGCACTTTGCAGGCCAGTGTGTTCACTGCTCACTGAATATTTCTTAATACTCGATGATTTCTTACCAAATTGCTTCCGTTATTACTTTGTTTAACTCTACCTGTTAAAAGCATTGGGTTTTTTTAGTGTAGGATGGTTGAGTATTTGAAGGTAAACCTGCAGCCTGTGCAGGTTTCTGTATAGGTGTTCTGTGTACTGTGTTGTTCCTCAGCGTGCAAGTCAAAAGAAAGATGGTTTCCTCCGCAATAGATGTCAACTGATGTAACTGTAAAGGAAAAGTTTTAGTGTATTCTGCCTCTCAGCCAGAAGTTGAGACATTTTTGCACAAGAGCAGCACTGAGCATGAAGAGTTTTGTTTATATCGATGAGATTGCTCACACATGTATGTGTTTTTAGGAGCAGAAATTTAAGTAAGCCAAGAATGTTAACTGTTATTTCATTCTATGATTTAGCATTTTATACAGTGCTCTGAAGAAATTAGACTTTCCAAAAAATGAATGAGAGAGGTTTTTTTCGTTTCCACATGAGGATTGCTGTTCATTTACAGTAAAATCCTGTTCCCAATGTTCCGTCCAGTAGGATAATTCTAAACTTTTTGTGCAAAATGTCAGATTAGGCCTATTCTGGTCTTAATTTACATGAATAATGGGGGGAGGGGTTTATTAGAATTCTGTGGGACATTTGTCAAGTCACTGCACAGAAAATTTGGGATTTTTTTGCAAACATTCTTTTATTTTGCCTTCCTTTGTTAATTGAAAATAAGGAAATCCATTCAATATGAAATTGGATGTATAAAGCTGCTGCTGCTGTGATTCAGATTGTTACCTGAAAATTAAGATGTGTTTCTTCTGCTTTCATGAATCTTCACCATCAGCAAAGAGTTTGTATGACAGTTTAAGAGGCGAGAGGAATTTATTGGAGATCTATTGAGAATAAACGATATGCTGATTTATAACAACTGGTTAAGTTTATCAGAAGAAGAGAGGGGACTTGTAGCTTTCTTAGTAATATTTCACAGTGCAGTAAGCACACTTTGGATCACGTGCGGTTGTTGTGATACTGCATTATCAATTCAGTAAAGCTCTGCATGGCTCCTGAGTTAAGTTCAGGAGGCTGTCGTAGAGAAAAGGTCAATATTTAAAGAAAAAAGGAAAGTTTCTCCAAATGAGGAGAACAGAAAAGCCCATAAATGATGGCAGGTTAAGTGTAAACAGGAGGCTAAATAAAGGGGATTTAGAGAGCACTTTGCAAAGGATGCTCAGAGTGATTGCGGGAAGTTCTTGAAATCAAAAGCAGAAAGTCACCTTAGGAAACTCATGGGGCTGTTTGTTGGCAGGGATGAAAAAGGTAATCTCTGAGTTGATAGGGCTGTGGCAGAAACGCTCAACGAGTTTTTGATGTGTCAGACTTTACTGCTGAAGCAGGGGAGATTGCCACGCAGAATGCATTCTGTGCAGCGGGTTGGTCAGATGAGCTGGAGCAGTCTGAGGATGACGTGCAGGAAGCGTTAGAGCTGGCAGGCGAGTCAGGTGTGAAGTCGCCCGGAGCGGTGGCCTCGCCAAGGAGGTTCTGAAGGAACTCGGGTGAGAAGTAAGAGAACTGCTGGCCAAGACGTGCACCCTCTTATTACAGACGGCCTGCTGTGCCACTGTAACTCTCATCCAGAAGATCCTGGGAACTGCAGAGGAGTGGGTGTCAATTCCTTAGGAAACGGGTAGAGGCTGTAGTAAAGAATAAGGTCAGTGAGCTCATGGATGAAGCAGAGCCTGTTGGGAAAGAGGCAGTGTGCCTTCTGTCCAGCCAAGTCCTGCAACACTCACCTGCTGGGGTTCTGCGAAGTTGTCGGTAAGTGTGTGGATAAAGGAGATCCAGTGGATGTCATGTATTTGGATTTTCAAAAAAAGCAGGCTCAATACGAGTCAGCAGTGTGCCCTGGCAGCCAATAGGCCAAACTGCATCTTGGGGCGCATTAAACAGCATCTAACTATCTATGTGCCAGGAGATGCATTATGTCTCTCTTGAAACAGTCATGAAAACATCTATCTGGATGTCACTTTTAAATTTGGTCAGGAAGAAGCCGAGGGGAAATTATGTTTAAGGTTTACAAAATCACAAAGGTAGTGGATAAGGCGAATGGAAATGACTGTTGTACCAAACCCTGTGGTACTATGACCGAGGGGCACTGATGAAACAAACAGGACATACATTTAATACAGTATTTCTTCACAGAATGGGGAGTGAACTCCTGGAACTTGTTGCCACAGGAGTTTGTGGTTGTGACAGTATTGACAGGTTCATAAAGGGATTAGACAAGTTTGATGAACATCAGGTTGCCTGACTATGCGGAGAGGTCCCCTCTAATACCTGTAGTCCAAGAGTTGTTGTATTCCAAGGGGAATGGACCTCATAAAAAAGGCAGGCCTGGGTGCTATCCCCAGATAGCCACTGCTTTAGGGAAGATACTGGTCTGACCCAGTAAGGCATCTCTCATGTTCTTCACAGTGAAGCTGAATGTGGTACTGGAATGGTAAGAGTAGTGAAAGCATACAGTATGAGTAAGTGAAGAAATTAATGACTTGGACCACGTGTGGAGGAAGGTACCAAAAGAAACCAGTTACCATTTGCAATAAATTTCTGATTCTAATCAAGCTTCCATTAAAGTTGAAAAATACAGCTAGATGTAACAATGGAAGAGGAGGGCTTTAATTTTCATCAGAGCAATATTATAATACCTACAAACCTCTCTCTGTTCTTCACCAGTAGATAGGCGTATTTATTGTTAGTTTTTAGGGCATTTCATAGGTGTGCTAGAAGATCTTACACTTGCTGTTGACTTCAGTAAACTTAGTTATAAAGCCTTAGGTGTGTATTCAGACAGTTAAAATTCTGTTTCTGGATTGAATTATACATACAGAAAAGGTGTGTTGGGTGAGTCTGTTTTGAGCCAACTAGGCAATTTTTCGTGCTAATTTGTATGGCTGATTTTTTTTTTGTGTATTCTTTTGTAAGTTCATTTTAAGCAAATTTAGACTAATTTCTCCATGTTAAATACTTAGGTAGCATATTGAAAATGAAATTCTCAACTCTTTCCTTCCTACCTGAGCAACAGCAAATTATTAAATTGAGAGGAATAATATAGTAATCCACGTAAGCAATAATGAATAGGATTGTAATAAGGAAGATTGCATCTTTCTTAATAATTTGCATTTGGCAAATATTTATACCATAAAACTTTGGGCTATTACCATCACAATCCTAAGTAAGGTTCTTCATATTCTTAACCAAGGTAAATTATTATTACCATCTGCAAAGGGCAAGATACAAGCCTTGAAGCAATACAAAATAGCACTTGTAACAAAAGGCTAATCTCATTAAAGTCAAGCCAGAAGTCTTCCAAGATTTTTTGAATGGTACATTCGTTTAGGTTTACGTTACTTAAATAGTAAGTTTTCCCATGCCACATGCTCTATTATTGCAGTATTTAATGGTTATTCTTCTTTATTCTTCAAGTGCAAAACTTGATGTCTGTTAATGTTGCAATTATCGTAACCATAGTACGTGATATACATGTCAATACATATAGTAATATTTACAACACTGCTGTCAGTTTGGACTATTCAGCTTCATAATTGCCTAATGAAAGAGCTGCTGTGTGGAGGGTTTTTTATTTAGGTTTTTGTGTGTGTCTGGGTGTGTGCATGAGAGGGGGAGAGAGGGAAGACTTCCAGCGCAGAGTGATGGCATCTAACTATCTATGTGCCAGGAGATGCATTATGTCTCAGTTGCACCATTTGTCCACTTGAAACAGGCACGTATGAAAACATCTATTTGGAATTTGTGCTGGCATCAATTCAAAATATATTCTCTGTTTACTATATTACTCTAGTTCTGTAAGCCACTGTATAATGCTGTCCAGCTCTCTCTTTTACTGCACCATGTCTTATGGTCATAATAGTATCTTTTCATTGTGGAAAAAATACAAAATACCATTAAAACATTTTACGTACCTGATAGCTGATATTGCAAGGCCTAAACTTTTTATGTGCTCCATTGCCATGTATGTGTAGGCAATTCGGCATGTTGGGCAGTAGCAAACAAATTCGGTAGTTAACTGCCTGTGCATGACAGAAAATTCCTATACTTCCTTTCTTTTTTTCTTTTTTAATCTTTCTTTCTCCAAACCATCTCCTGTTAGGATGGCATCTTCTTGCTCCAATTTACCATTCTGCATCCTAAGGGCAGGATTCTACTCTTAGATCAAAACAGATGGTCGTTTTGATGAGTTAGAGAAAACAATGTGGTAGCAGCACATATCTGGCTCATACATTTAGGGGGTTTTGCAGTGTTCTGCTGACACTAGCAGCAAGGCCCAGCTTTCTCATAGAATTCGTCATGGTAGAAATTCAGCTCATCTGAATGTTCTACAATAACATTTAGCTCTTAAAGTCTGTTCATACATCAGCAAAAGAAAATTGCCCAAAGCCACGTTTAATTAAGGGTAACTGGGAGGATTTTAATATCTCATGGTAAGAATGAAGGTAAAATTAACAAAATATCTTTGATCCTCCTGAATTTGTGAGACAGTCACCATAAGGAAGTAGGTATTCCAGTTTACCTGTACTTTCTCAAAACACAGTGTTTTTATTAAGTAATTTCCTTTCCTTAGACTACCTTTAATTACATATTTAAAAAAAATAGAAAAAATTCCAAACCAAGTTATACATGTGTTTACATTAAAAAGTATTTCCATACTTGGATTTCAGTGCATGTCATGCCACTATCTCATTTTGAACCTGATCTTGCTCCTCCTCTATGTTATGGCAGGACATTGAGTTTAGTGAGTGCAGCATTTGGTGCAAATGTGTATGTATCCTGAAGCAATGTGTAAAGACTATTGAAATGCCAGAAGACCTCACTAAGAGAGCTATGCAGCTGCGAAAAGTGAAGTAATTACTCTTATTGTTTAAAGCTTGTTTTTCCTATTAATCCACCATGATGTAAATGGTCAGTTCGAGTAAAACAGGTCAGGTTTCCCTCCTGATCGATGCAATCCATATAGTGTTTCTGTAGCTAGATTTTAGCCTTCAGTTAAGCCTCTGCTTGTCTTAGTATAGCTTTTCCACAAATTATTTGTGCTTTAAAATATATTGACTGCATATCATAGTCCTTATTCTCCATTCCTGAAAGTCACTTGAACTTGTTGCTGTCGACCATGTGAGTGGGAGCATAAAAATCTTCTAATTCTGTGGTCACTTTCTGACTGGATGTAAGGGGAGTCAGAATGTGGCCCGAGATGTTTAAAGTGATGATCAAATTTTCAATGGCTTGAAAACTATTACTGCATTTAAATCACAAAACGATAAAGAGTACAGTTCAGATTTATGCTCTAACAAATTTTCAGAAAAGTTGAGATAGATGTGTTTAACTCATCTGTAATGGGATATTTTCTAAACATAGACTTACGAATATTGAGTTGTTATTAAGCATAATTTTCAGCATTCTTGAGTGCTAACTTGGGGCTGTTTATTTTAGCAAAAACAGGTTGGTCGCTCACCTGGGGTAAGCAGTATAGAACACCAGCAAGAGATCACTAAATTAAAGGCAGACCTGGAGAAGAAAAGTGTTTTCTATGAAGAGGAACTATCTAAACGTGAAATAATACATGCTAATGAAATAAAAAGTCTGAAGAAAGAACTACGGGATGCAGAGAGCCAGCAGCTTGCCCTCAAGAAGGAGATCATGATTTTGAAAGACAAGCTAGAGAAAACCAGAAGAGAAAAGTGAGTATTGTATGGAATTTACCTTTAAGCTCAAAATATCTTTGAAGTCTCCTAGTATGTTTCCAAACACACTATTGCTTCCTTAACTGTAGTGCAGACAGGTGCATTTTGGCTGAGCTAATGCCAGGGTTGAAAATAGTCACCTTTAAAAATACAGCAGAACAAAAAAAAAATCCACAACCCTGTGCTGAAACAGTTAATTTTGCACCAGAATTCTTGCACTGGCTGACCATTCCAAGGTATGTAACTTGAGTTGCAGACTTTCAGCTCAGGGTAAGTCAACCCCTGAAGCTTATGTTGCAGTTTAAAATAGTTTTTTGACATCCTTTTCTGTTTGGTATTTTCATCTTTTGATGCAAAACTAATGTGTTGGAGATCAACTATTGCTTGCTTTTCTGCCAGTACAGGAACAGTCACTTAATGCGGACTAAGGCTAATCCATGCTGGGTTCCATCCAGTGTTAATATCAGTCATCGGACTACTGTAGGCATAAGCTGCTTTGTCTCTTCTGACGTGGTAGTTTGTCAGAGACCTGCTTCTTTCTCTCCCACGTGGTGGAGCTTATAACTGGCCTTGAGAATGTTCCTTGAGGCATTCATCAATAAAAACAAGTTTTTCTGTTGGATAGTGTAGTAACAGAAATAGTCATAAATTGAATGTGTTCATTTTCATTCATAAAAAAAATCAGAATGCTTTATAGACACTAACATAGATGCTTCTTTTTGTTGCTGTAGTAGGATGGCATATTAGAAAAAACATGGAGAAGTTCCTGTTGAAAGCTTAGCCAAACTGTAGCGAGTCCTTAAATATAAGTAGTAAATAAAATGAAGAATTTTTCAAACTAGCTTATGCAAATAGAGGTGAAAACACTGCTTCTCTGGTAAATTGTTTCCAGCAAGGGAAGTAGATCATACAGCCTAGAATGCAGGGGATGAACTCTTTCTTCCTAGAATATAGTTGTTCATAGGCTGGACGTATTAACACGGTAGTTTGCTGCTTTGTTCTAGGTTGAGAGGTAAAACTTGCATCAGCAGCATGTTTTCATTGTACCATAACTTGATGGCCTTGCTGACCTATGAGTTACAAATGCATAAAAGGCTATGCTGTATTGTAATATATAAAGGTGATAGTATGATACTCCTTTAACGCCATGTCAGTCCACTAGTGTCTCAGAAGGAGGAATATTCAATAAAGTATCATTAATACCTCTTTCTGCAGGCTAAACTGTTGCTAAAGATCATGCCTCCGAACACTGACCAGACCAAAAACTCTGGAGTTTTATCTGAACCGTTCTAATGTTGTACAGCTGCAAAAGTTCTAACTAGGTGTCCATCTAGTAACAAACGGCCTAACAATGCTGATCTGCTTCATGCTAGCTAGTTCATAAACCTTCTTTCAGTCTAGTTTCTCTCTATAAATAAAAAAAGAACTGGATGCAAATCTAAAATGAGTCCTGACGTAACCGCGTGTTTCTGTATGTATTTCAAGTGCTGGTGTAAGAGAACATGTTAAAGCATGAACAGAAGTGTGTCACATAACCAGAACCCGACATTTGGCTCATAATGGGAAGGGCTTCAGCATCATATGAAGTCAGGTGTCCAAGCACACGATGACTGATTAATGAAGACCTGATCTTAACTGGGTTTTGTTAAAGAGATCTGCAGAATCTCACGCAAGTATTAGGACTCCACAGAAATGCAGAAGTCCACTGTTCAAGTTGTGCTACAGATTGACTTCTGTAGTAGTACAGGGATTTAGAAGGGAAGCTTAAATATTAGGAATGGAAGAATTGCTCTTGCTGCTCGATTCTCAGTATTTGGTAGTTTTTCTTAAGAGAACATGGATATTTTTTTTTGTTTCTGCTTACACATACTGTTTTTAGCTTTTAGTGAGTCTGCCAGTACAGAGGTTTTCAATGTCGGTGTTGAAAAGGAAGCACCTGGAGGCTTTATGCTGAAATAAGTGGAATTATTTCGACAATAGGCTTGGGGTGGGTGTGGGGTTGAAGCGTGCATATACAGTTTGGGAAAAAATGTTAGTGGTCTAAAAATAATCTTTAGTGCATATTTTAAAAAAAAAAAGCTTTGATAAGAGGATGCGGTTGCGTTACTTCATAGAGGCTATAGTATAGAGCGAATAAGAGCTTGGTCAAAATCTGTGTGTACTTTTTTATGTAACTTACATGCTGGTGGTTTCTGTTTCATTTTTTTTTTAAATGGGTATTTTTTCTTTGTTTCCTTCAAATTTAAACTTTATTACTTTTGCTATTTCAACACCGTAAGACTTCAAGGGAGAGAAACTACCTTTCTGTACAAAACGATTGCCTTTTGCTAAAGTCTGATAAACTGCATGCTATTAAAGTTGGGAACGTAGGAACACAGTATCAGGCCAGTGATCTCTGTAGCACGATATTCCATTTCTTAGAATTGTCATTATGAAATACTTCAGAAGAAGGTGCAAGAAACTGTGTAAAATAAATCATGTTTGTAGAAGTTTCTTTTAAGCCTGTCTTTTAATGATAGATTTATAAAGCAGAGAGCTTTGTAAAACAGCGTTTGCTGTTTTTAAACTGTGTGATGTAAAGAAGCCTGGGGGCTGGTGTTTGTTTCAGGTCTACTTTTCTTGGTTTCAAAGCAGTAAGATAAAATATTTCTCCACTTTGTACAGCTGCAATAAAGAGCTGGAGTGACAAAGTGATACCATAAAGATGTATTTCACATTGCTTGCATGTGGTTTGCTGCACTTTACTGATAAAAAGAAAGCTCGATCATGTATGATTTCTTAAAGTTGAAGGGCAGATACATAGCTAAATTTTAGATGAGAGAAAAAGCGTGATGGGAGAGGAGGGTGCCAGGCTTCAAAGTGAAATGTGTTATTTTGATCTTCCTGGCTGTCCAAGGTACGCCTATGGAGTCCGTCACAGTTCCGCGGTTTGCTGAGTAATGTCTGTCATTTGGGTATGACAGATTATACCCACATTCTCCTCTGCTTAAAACTTATCTTCTTTGTTTCTCTCTTGTACTATAGCAATCTGACTTAGCCGGTGATTGTCACTAACCCAGTGAATTAAGAACATAAAATACAGAAAACTACAAATATGGTGGGCTCTTTTACCAGTCCACATCTTCCTTAATCCACCACCATTTATGGCTGCTTTGAGCCTTAAAGCCTTAAAAGAACAAATTTCAGACAGATACAGAATAAAAAACCCTAAACAAAACAATAAAACCATGAAAGCTAAATAAAAGAAATTAATTAAAAATTAGTTTGGTCTACTGTCTGAGAAATTAGCTTTGAATCTATGCCTTGCAAACAGAAGCAGCACCTGTTATTAATTCCCCTGACAGCCAATGCTTTAATCTCTTCCTGCCTTTTCCCTAGACTGCTCATCATATGCGTGGAATCTGTTGATATAGAAAAGGAGTGGTGGTGAATTTCAAACTTGGCGTTTAAACAGTAACGATAGTATGTTACTTTGCTAGGATGTAGTGTTATGTTTCAAAGGATGTGTAGCAACACAGAATTTCACCATGAGTCTAACATGCTGTACTAGATTTCAAAGAGTGGTTGAAGCACTAAATGAATTTCAAATTAAGAATAGGAAATTCAAACCAGCGTTACTCTTAACTGGGTTCATTGTAACCACTGACACTTCTCATCTTTTAAGGGTGTTCACTCAGTTTGGCAGAGCTGTAGTAGTTCTGCATCTCAGAAAAAGAGGCGAGGATGTAATTTCTCTGTTGCACAATGTAAAATTCTGATCGGTATAGAGAAAAAAAATTGCAATGCTCAAGACAAGGTTTCTCTTGGATTTTATTTTTACAGAATTAACCTTTTACACTGGGCACTTTTTCAAACCCTTTAAGGCTGGACAGTGGTATTTGCTGAATGGGTATTTACTGTATCTGTGGCATTTATAGTATAATTCCATCAACCTACTGATGAACTTTGCGCCGGTTAGCTGAATAATTGGTGAAATGGTGAATGCAAGATGCAAATGTAGCGAGTCTCAAAAGAGTGGTTGTGAGGTGGGAGTTATACGTCTAAAACATTGCCGTACACTACTTTAAGGAAATTACAATGTTTTTTTGGCAAACAGAGGACCTGCAGCTTCATTTATTTTCAGGTTCTTATATTCATTGTGCAAGATCAAAGTTGATGTTAAGCAGAATCACCCAGGGGTTCTCCACTACTGAATGACATCCACAGGAGAAGGGAAGGGTTAGGCGAAACAGCTACTTTGAAACTCTTTCTCAGAAACAATGGTCCAAACCTGCTCTAGAATCTGGTGATAGTAGGATTGTATAGGTTATCCATCCACTTCTTGCTGATAGTAAATGTACGGTACCGGAATTAACAGTTCAAATGTGTCCTCTGGCTGTTCTAAATTGTCCAAAGACTAGCCCATATAAGCTTTTCTCATCAGAGACCCATTCCCAAGTGCTTTAATTCAGCTTCTGTGAGTTCTGGTTTCATATGTGGTCATTTTTGCCTGTCATTCTGTGTGAAACTTGGAATTATAGAAATGTCTAATTTAAAATAATGTTTCTGTGAGCTGAGAATTTACCCTGAGTGTCTTGGAATATTGACACACACTTTGGTCTGCAGAATTACAGCTGTTCGATGTTTGAAGGATTCATCTAAAGAATAAAATATGTATAAGTGGATTGATAAATGTTAGCTCAGTGAAGCTCTATTAATTCTGTACTGAAGGAAAGATCATTGTCTAATGATAAAATTCAACAGACTGTCTTATAGTCCTGAGATGGTAGTACAATACATTACTTTCTTAGTTTTAATAGGCTGTGGTATTACCAATGTAGTACTTTCCTTTCAGCTAGTGTGTGCATTGATCTTTATGTATTTAAGTGAACAGTGTGATGAGTTTTAGAATAGGAAACTTCTTATTCTACTTCATTTTATTTCTTAGCCAAAGTGAAAGAGAGGAATTTGAAACAGAGTTCAGACAGAAGTATGAACGAGAAAAGACTCTGCTAACAGAGGAAAACAAAAAACTTTCAAATGAACTTGATAAGGTAAGTGCTGATTACTCGAGTCCTGAGTTTACGACTACTGTATGCTATGTACAAATTGGACAATGTAGAGCTGTACTGGTTATTATTAACTCTTAATTGATAGCAGAAATTAATATTACACAAAAAGTGGTGATTAATTGATTTGAATAGAGAGTATCTACATGTATCTGAACTTGAGAATGTGTGTACATATGTATATATATGCAGGTATGTGTATTTATGTGTAGGAGTTAGATGGTATTACAGTTTGGTAAGATTAATTTTAGACAATATCTTAAGGGAAAAAAAAAGATTATTTCATTGTATGACCCAACTATAAAAATACATAGTTAATGATGTGATTATTTAGAGTATATTTGCATGTCAATTACTGTGAAATAGCAGAGCCCCTCCTGCCCATTGAGATTAAGTGTTACTTTGAGATATTAAAAAAATACAGATGATAAGGCATATTAATTGAAGTGTGTTGAGCGAGCAATAATTACGTTCTGTGCATTTAGATTATCTCTTTATTGTTCATTTTGACAGGTTATTCAAGTTCATTGTGGATTAGCCAAGTCTTGTTAAACTTGTCTATTCTTTTTGTAATGCATTAAATTTTGTAAAAATATGATGAAAGTACAGTGTTCTTCAAAGTAAGCACGTTTGCATGTCAGTGTTCAAATTAAAGTATGTTTTCATACCAGTATAAGATGCATACTATATATGTCTATATGTAGGCTTAGTCCAAGAACACTAAAAGTCTAGTCACTTTGATAGTTTTTCTGCTTAGTCTCTTTTTTCTTTTCCCCTTCCCTTCCCTTCCCTTCCCTTCCCTTCCCTTCCCTTCCCTTCCCTTCCCTTCCCTTCCCTTCCCTTCCCTTCC